GCGACGCTCTTTGTTTCTGGGCTGGCGCTCCAAGTGACTTAACATCTCATTTAGCATCCTTTCAAACCTACTCAAGATAATGATAGAGTCAACTCAAGATGGAAGATATGTGCAAAGGGCGAAGGGTTTAATACACAAGGATAGCCTATTATTCCAGAAACTGAGATATCCGAGGAACATTTTCTCACTTACATGAGTATGGCTTATGGGGAAGTTATATAACTTTTTTCCAAACTAAATAACACCCTCTCAAGTGGTAAATAAATTTTTTTTGCTTGTGACATGTAACAGTCAAAATCTCCCCCCATAGCATCATATCTATTCACTCTCAACTTGATGAATTCAAATCACTTAATCAAACATAGCTTGTAAAAATAACTTTAAAAAAGTTTATGCTCCCTTGATCCTTTACAAGTCAAATTTCCTTTGCTATAAAAACAGAGCTGTGTAATTTATTACTCCTTTATAATTAAATGAAAAGAATCAAGACTAACGAACTATAATCAATTGGATACTACAATATGCCATATTTCTGAAAAGTGAAAACTACTTGTAAGTTTCAGTCGTTACAACAGTCAGGAACCAAATGCATTTTCTGACTGCATAAACACACAAATTCATGGTTAAATGATATTCAAGTTCCTGCTCATTCAGTTAGCTAATCATTCCAGTGCAGAATTCCATACCGTATTCAACACGTGAAACTCTTTAAAAAAATCTGGTGAAGCTATAGCATCTAAGATTGAAGGAAAATAGAATGGAAATGGATGAATATACCATGGACTGCGAGGATTACTACTCTGAGTAAGAGTCACAAGGACTACAGATGCCTCAACCACATGGTGCCATATCTCATCATCAGAAGCCGTGTTCTGGCAGCAGGCATCCAGGATCACATCCGCATACCCACCAACCTCAGCAGCATCCACGTTTCTTCCGACATGTGTAAGGCTAATCATGCCCTGTCCCTAAAATCACACGAGAAAAAAGCTCAACATGATTCCACTCCCTTCTATTCCATACAGTTGTAATGATTTCCAAGTTTCAAATACAATCACAAATCAAACAAACAATAGATTCCTTTCAATATTCAAATTTTAGATGCAATTATGGCAAATACCTTCACTGCCGGGGACCAATGATCAACAGCAGTCAGTGCACAAGGCATCACCAATCCACACAACTTGCCCAAATGAGGATAATCAACCTAAGACAAATACAATTATTATCTCAATATCTCAGCATTGACAAATAACTGAACCAAACATTTTGTTATGATACAAATAGTGTATCTGCTGTCATCTAATCACAAATCTTCATGTAAAGTAAATTAAATTTGTTGACATTTACAATAATTACTTTAAAATTCATACTATCAAGTGTAAATTAAACATTAAATTATTATTTCATTTTAATTTTCCTAAAAAACAATGAAAGTACCCAAAACCCTAGCAGACGAGTATCTAACATAACCTGCGTAACAAACCACCTAAACTGAAAAGCAGCGAGAATGGCGAAACCAACGGGAGCTCTCGCTGATGCTGCAGAGAACACGTCGCTCTCATCAGAGTTATCAATGGAACTCTCCTTAATCCTCTCCTTCAGCAACGGCAAAACCTCTGGCATCAACTCTAGCACCAACCTCTTCTCCGGAGGAACAGCGAGGTCGCGGTTTTGGTCGCCGAACTCGACGAGGTAAGCGTGGGAGAGCTCGGAGAAGGACGAGGTTGCGAGAGCGGAGAGGTGGCCGGGAATCCACGAGAGGATGCCGGAGGAATCGAAGGTGGAAGAGGAAATGAGAGCGCACGCGAGAGCAAAGTCTTTGACGGTGGTGCTGGTTCCGAGGAGGGGTTCCAGAAAGGCTTTGACGGAGACGTTGGAGCTTCGGTGCGGAGTGTAGGGGACGGTGGCCAGAGACTCCGCGATTCCGGTCGATAAACGGGGCAGAAGGTCTCGGAGCGGTGAAGGTGACGGTGCTGCTTCCGACATTTGGTACTGACTAGGGCTCCCCTCCGCCGTTAACGGCAGTCCCGACTGTACTTTAAAAACGACGCCGTAATGAGCTTGACGACATTGCGCTGAACCAATTAAAAAATTATCCAAAAACTATTGCTTTTTCGATTTAGAAAGTAACACAAACATTATAAATAAAATAAGAGAGTATACTTGTTTTGTTACGTTGATTTTTATATCAATAAAAATAAGGTTAAAATTTTAATTTAGTCTTTTATAATATTAAAAAAAATTAATTTAGTCTTATTTTAATTTTAAATTTTAATTTAATCTCAATTTATTTAAAATACTTTAATATAGAGCTTCCGTCCAAATTTTACAAACACTGTTAAAGATTTGTGAGAATCACGCATGTAATTTCAAATCACAACTATGATTTTCACGCGTGGTGTTAAATCTCGTTCTTCATTTTCTGATCACCACCAACGTCGAAAACTGCCAGCACGTTCAAACCTTGTCGTACACCTCCCTCCGCCTAGTTATCATCGACCTTCATCGGTGAAACCGCCGCCTCTTCCTCTCCCCACCGCATCTTCAATCTGCACCGACGTACATGAGAATCTTGGCAGAAAACCCTAAACACCGGGACGCACTGCGAGGTGGAGAGGCGTCTCCCTTCCTGGAATGTCGCGACGGTCGATGAGTGCGGATACCTGATCGATTTTGAGCTTCGTCGCGAGCGATTCAGCCTCGGTGTTGACCTCGTCGGCCCTGGCGAGGCGAGGGATGGTGGAAACGAGGTGGCGCAATGCGGCGTGGTCGTGCTTGGCCACTATGACGTGTGATTTAACACTAGGCGTGAGAATCACGGTCGTGACTTGGAATCACGGGCATGATTCTCACAGACCTTTAACACCGTTTGTGAAATTTGGACGAAAGTCCCACATTGAGGTATTTTAAATAAAATTGGGACCAAATTGAAACCTAAAATTAAAGTGAGATCAAATTAAAACTTTTTAATATTATAAGGGACCAAATTAGGTTTTTAGCCTAAAAATAAAAATATAAGTTGTTATCAGTTATATTCAAATAACTTCTATTTATTTTAATTTAGTCTTTTACCTAATTATTTTTTTTTGTACTATCATAATATATGGTCGATCTCTTTGCATCTTATGGTACAAGGCTTAGGAGTTGCTAATCATTATAATAAGTAATCTTCAAGTCATAGAGCTTAAGATTGAAAGATAATGTAATATTATGATAAATGATGAACCAATTTCTTTATTCTAAGTCTTTTCGCACTTAAGTCAGAATATTCTAAGTTTTAGATGTTTTAATTTAATTATATTAAATATTGTGTTATTATGGATGTTGGTTTAAAAACTCTGGATTTAAGAGTTAGGATGTTTCCAAGAAAAGTTTTAGGGATAATCAAGTAGGTTTAGAACAAGAAAAATATATAAGTTTTTTTCAAGATATAAATCTCATAAATCTGTTTTAAAGAATTATAGAGAAAAGTTAGAGAGAAGTTCTCTAAGCCTAAACTCTCTTCCCCATCTTCTAAAACTGAAAATCCTCCTTTTTCTAGCTTCCTATGGTCGAATCTATTGTATTAAGCTAGGAGATGCAAGCTTGAGGAGTTGAAGATCTCGAATTGGAACTGTTTGAAGAGTTTATTTTCTTTCTTTTCTTTCCTCTTTGAAGTAGTTAGAGGTAAGGGAAGCTTGATGATTTGTGTTATTAGTGATGATTTTCTAGTTGTTGGTTGGCTTGAATTCATTCTTGTATGATGAAATAAATGGAAATGATGAATTGAATCTGTTGTGAAGGAATAATCTTGAATGGTGTTCTTGGGTTGCTTGGTTGAGTTTAGATGTTGGGATGGTTGCATGTGTTGTTTAAGGATGTTTTGGTGTTGTCTATGTGGTGTGTATCATATATTTTAGATTGCATGTTGGGTTCTTGCTGCATTTCAAGTAGATTGGACAAAATTAGTTTCTACATAAGTGCAAAAATCGATATCATGTCAAGCTTGCCTTCATGGCATCGAGCGTGGTTCAAAGTCAACGGTTCTCATTTTCCTTACATTGAGTGCATGATTGTTGGGGTCAAGTGTGAGGAGAGAGAGAATCGTCTCTGACTTGGTCATACCAAAAGTGAGTTTGAATGACGTCAGACGTTAGAAGAGAAAATCATCTCGAGTTAAACTCCCTCCAGGCACCAAAAGAAGTGGTGTCAAGCATGGATCAAGTTGAAGTTGTTTGCCTAATTAAGGTCAGATGTAGATTTTGCCACGCTAGGAATGAAAAGTAGGAGACTCTTTGCCTTAACCATGTTGAATGCAAGTAGTTTGGCGTTGGGTGTAGGCAAGACAAAAAGTCCTCTACCTCAATGATGTTAGGCATCCAGGGGATGGCATTAGGAGCAAGTTGTATGATTTAGATGTGTTATTTAAGTTATTTTATGACTAAAAGATGATGATTGAGTTGTATGATGAAGATGATATGATGATAGCTCTTATGCTTCAAGTTGACATATTATATGATGATGTTTGTGTTGTTATAAATTGATAGATGTTTAAGTTGTGGAGTTATATAATGCTATAGTTGATTAAGATGTAAAGTTGTTAAACATGTAGTGTTGATACATGTCTTTGTTAAGATACATAAAAATTAGAGGAGAATAAAATATCTTTTAGAAATTAAAATATTTCATTGTGTGGATATAAGTTGTAGTGTTCTAAGAGCCCAGTTGAAAACTCTTCAATAAGTAAGATAGCTTATGAATGGGTAGTTGTTTTAAGTTGTCTTCTTTAGGTTTTATGTGGTATCCGTATGTGGATAAGGTTGAGACACACGTGTATAAAATGACCAACCGAATAAGATACAATGTCAAAAACTTAGTTTCTTAACTGAGTACTAGAAGGACATAATATTTGGAGGGTAGCCGGTGAGCTATTTTTATAGGAAGCTTAGTTTTGCAAGTTAATATCGTAATAAACTCATACACGAGCTATTTTATCATGCTAGTAATAGACTTCAAAATTTAAGTGACGAAACTTGAAAAATCAAATAAGTTGTAAACATGTAATCTCTGGCTAATGCTAAGTCAATCAACTAACTGTGTCTAATTTATTGGTTGCTGCTTGAAGTTATAGAGGAAAGATGAGAACAAAGATAATAATGCTTAGATTTATATGATTGCCCTCCTAAAATTCAAAATGTCAAAATACTTAGATACAAATATATATAGTTTTTTTTTTTTTTTTTAAAGATGAGTAGGTAACATTTCTAATGTTATGAACTTGGACAAATGGTTGAATTATCTAGAAATAGTCTTTCTTATCGAAATATTTTTTAATTTAAAATTTTAACTATTTTAATTGAAAATCTGATTATTGTTTTAAAAATGTTTTCATCCTTTAGAAGTTTAATTTCCTTTTCCTTTCTCCACCATGCAAACACTCTTGTTCTTGCATGCATAGTTTTTTCTTAAAATTCAAATGTTTGATTATACTCTATATTATTCAAATTCAAATATTGCTTTTCTTATTGAACTATACACCTAATTATTACCAAATTACAATTATTTTAATTTTACTGCAACATCTATTTTTGGTTTATATTAACGAGGGCCAAAGGCCCCAAGCAATGCAGAAAAGAGCGGGTACATACAACCTCATTATTGTCAATAGGATTTAACTTCTAAATAATTAAGTGCTATAAAATCATGTACCTGTTTGGCTTTATGCCTTTTCTACATTATTAAAAAGAACTACTTGATAGTACTATATTTGTAACCTATAATGATGATAAAAGTGATATGTAAATTTGGTTTACACATTTTTTACGATTTTTTTTTTAACCTTTCTTAACTCAAACTCATCAACCATTCCATTACTCTCATGAATATCAGATACTTTGGTTGTGTTTGGATTTACCGTAAATGGTGGAATGGAATATAAATGAAATAATATACATATTGGATGAGATCAATTGACACCGAGTCTTTTACACGTATGCCACTTAATAACTTCTTGTAAACTATGAAATTAAACGATCAAACTATTAAATCGTTTGATATCATCTTTTATTACCACATATATCAAAACTCATACAATTCAAACATTCATTTATATATTATCTAATAATAACGAATACTTATTTATATTTTAAATTATTTGTCAAAGTAAAATAGAACACTGAAATATCAACAAAAAAAATGTAGGACATTCTATAAAATTAATGTACTATATAAGAAAATTTAATTTAACAGTTGAATTTGTCAATTTCATATTTTATATAAAAAAATTATTAAGTAGTATAAATGTTAAAAACATTGATATGACAGATTTATTTTTTCTTAACAGATTATTTTCTTTAAACTGTTTAAAGTAAGATCCTCGGGCACTATGTTACCTATTCTAATTGTTTTCCTCTTTACTTCAAATTTAATGTCTAAATAATCCAAGTCTCGATCATAAAATCAAGATACCCAACCCAATGACTCCAATAATATTTCTTCTAAAGTTGCATATAAACATAAATACTTATAAGATAGCATTCGGCAGAAAATGCAATGTCATAAACTTGGATAGATATATCTTGCAAATCACGCTCTCATTAGTCATTACTGAATGTCCACTGTATAAATAAAGCACAACACAAGATTTGCACGCCACGCATGTGTAAGTAAAAATCAGAATCAGAAGTGATCAAATTCAAGAGAGAACAATCAAAACAAAAAGGGCCACACATACAAACACTTGCTTGATAGAACAAAATGTATTAGAAAAAGAAAAGGCAACAACAGAAGGAACCCCAACATTCAAGATTCTGGAACAGATGCTGCTGCTGCCCGTTTGATTGATGCAGACTTGATAAGATGGTTATAGCTCCCTTTCTCCTTAAAAAGCTGGGAGAAATGGTGCTTGCAATACAAAATTCCCTCAAGGGCTGCATAATTTGATGGGGTTATGGGACAACCACCATGTGAACACTTGAAACATGATTTGTGATAGGCCTGCCCTTCCACTGTTACCTACACTCAAAGAAGAGATATACATTTCTATAAATAGTATCAAGAAAACCAAGATACTCTGATTCAGATTTTTGGTAAATTAGATTTACATTTATTCATTCATGAAATTGTTGAGAAATAAATTTACTTGAAAAAGTGGTAATAAATGGTCAACGAGCCTTATTTCTATCCACAGAAATCGAATTAGATACCAAAGAATTTATTATAACTCACGTTCTGCTCAACTATGTTAGACTCCTTGATCAATGAGACACCTGTTTTCTCTGTTTCTTTAGAGAGCTACCCCAGTTCGAATTTGAATGGGAGATAAAGGGTAAGTTTCATTCCTTTCTTGGTTTTAAAAAGTGTTTTCTAAAATAATTTTACACTACTCAACAATCAATTTCCCATCCAAAATCTATAAAGTTCTGAAAATTGTTTCCAAAACAATTGTCAGTATCATCTCCCGTCTTATTGACAAAACATTAGAAGAAATTGATACAAGAACTTGATATTATCACAAACACAAGTTGCCAGGTATATGTCACTATAAGCATGGATTTCATTTTGTGGAATTTTCATTATAATTATCTGTGGATGGAGGAAGAAGTTCCAGAATTATTATAAGCAAATGCAATTTTGCTTTCTTGGCTTGTGAGAATTTAAAACTAAATAAAAAACCGAAGTTCAAACTCCTATTATTTTGCATATTTTAGGAGGCAGCAACTCATATTGCTTAATTTCACAGAACCATGAGTACCAACCAAAGGCAAAAGGTCATACTAATGCATATGCTTTCATGCTGTTAATTTAACCCATAAAGAATCAGAATTCCCTGAAGAGGACATAAAGAAGCACTTCATGACACCCTTATTTATGCTCCACTTATCCCCTTTCAACTTCAGAATCAGAAAGGCATATTTGGTTACTCACATATACACAGCTAGAGAAGGATACTCTAGTAATCTACTAGATCTAGAAAAGCATAATAAATTAATAATGAAGTTTCTTCTTGAGGTCTAAACATCCGTATACTCAATTTGTAACAGACAATTTGTAACCTTATAACGAATATCATCAACTAATTTGTTTCAAAGATTTTGGAATCCTACCTTCTCCAATGGATAAGCAGTTTTGCCACATGTAGCACACTTATCTTGTGTACCAGAAAACATGCTTGCAGCTTTACTAGGGGACCTTGTCTGAAATAAACAGAAGATACCAACAATTATTCAATAATACTTAATGCCATAAGCCTATTAATCGCAAGAATGTTTGAAAATTGCAAAATTAAACAAATTTACCAGCTCAGGGGTTGTCTTATCTGCTAACTTTGCAGCTGTTCAAAATGAAAATATGGCCAATTAAAGAGGCATCTGATTCAAAAACCACACAAACACAGCTTCATCCTCAAAGAAGAAAAAGAAGAACACATACGTGACTGGAAATTCTTGCTGAAAGTGCCAGTCTCCTTGAAGAGCTGCTCATAGTGTGGCTTGCAGTAAAGAACACCCTCCATTGAGGAATAGTTGCTTAGCTGAAACATATGCAAAAATCATCAACAATAATCCATGTAAAGTTTACATTCAGATACACAAATACTAGCCCAATTAGTGTCCAACATTATTAAAACGAGCCGATCTGTGTCATTAATTACAATAATCAATTGAAAAATTCCCACTCTAAAAACTCTCAGTATTATCACACATTCACACTCTAAAGAAAAATGGGGTAGTCCCCATTTTTTTTCTTGATCAAATCATGAACTGATACCATTTTCCTATCAACTAACTAAAATTCTCATGGATGCAAGGCAGCGTGAAACTAAAGCAAGGATCTTTAGCAGAATTTTTTTTTAAAAAGAACAACATTAATATACAATTAAATAAATAATGCAGCTAAGAAAACATGTAAATAGATTAAAAAGAATCACCTTCAATGTTCCTTTGCAGTGAGAGCATCTGAAACAAGCTTTGTGATAAGCAGTGCCATCAGCAGAAAGCTGATCAACGGGGTAGACCGTTTTCTCACAAGCCTTGCACTTTTGCTGGGTACCGATAAAAGACATTGTTGTGGCTTTTAGATCTAAATTCACCAGCAATTCCAAATTCACAAGGCACTGGATCGGCTTCAGAGACTGCATACATGAACCAAAAACACGAACAACAACAACAACAAAAAAAAGGGTTAATTTTGAAAGCTTAAAAAACATCCTCGTATGAATCTGCTTGGTTTGGTTCAGAGAAATACTGAAAAGTTGACATGGTCAAAGTGGGTGTTTGAGCATACCTTGTGAAGAGAAAGTGGTGAATGGTGGATCGGTTGTGTTGTGTCGTGATCTAAAGCTTTGAACTGAAAAGGTGAAGATAGAGAGAGAATGAGAAATTGTGAGGGTGAGAGAGAATAAGTTTGAGCAAGTTGAGACACAATGACTCAGGTTGGGACTCTTGAGACTATGAATGTCATTGAATATATATGGAGAACAGATCATGTCTTGGTCACCTTAATGAAAATCCAATAAATAGAGAAAATGAAGAGATTTTTATTACAAATGTGGGAAATAAAATAAGACGCAAATATCCTTGCTGTCTCCGTTAACACTTTTTTATTCGTTTGGTAGAAACCACTAACGCTATTTTATTTTTTATTTTTTTTAATCTATCATTGGCAACAACTCCCTCAATCACGAACACGAAAATTAGCGGGCATTATTATTATTATTAACAATTAATTTTTTTGCTTAAACGATACTGTTATTAATTATAACAAGATCAATTTTCCGTGTGAAAACTTATTAATATAACATGAATAATATTAATATATTTTAATCTTTTTATAAAGAGCAATGCAACATACTCATTTCCCACTATTTTGTTTGATATTTTATTAATTTTTATTTATTTTAATTTAATTATTGTTTTACAATATTAATAAAGTATTAAATATATTTTTTCTATTATGTTTTTAACTATTATTATTGTATTATTGTTTAATTATTTAATTATTAGTGAGAATTTAAAAAATTTAAAGATATCTTATTGAGAAATTACATGATTTATTTTATCAAATTAAATATATCCATTATATTTCTTAAGTTCTATCCAAAACCTTAAAAATCAAATAATATGGATTGAGGAAGTGATATCAAAATATATTTGCACAAAACAAATAAATTTTAAAGTAATCAATAAAAAGTGGGTATTAATATTTGGTGAAAGAGAAAATAAATGTTTAATTGTTGATTTCTTTAATTTATATTATTTTAAAATATACATATATATATATATATATATATATATCATTTTAATCATTATAATTTTATAAATTTTAGTTTTTAGTTCTTATAATTAAAGTTTTATCTTAGTCCTTCCTTCCCCTTCACACATCAAAATGAAATTAAGAGACTAAAAAGATAATTAAACAAAAAATATATAAGAAAAAAGACTATCTTAGTTTTCATTCAATCACAAATCACTATGTAATTGTATGATAAATTTGTTGAGTTCTATTATAATTACTTTAAAAGTTATATTAGTAATGATTTCTAATTAGTTAACATTTTAAAATTTTTTACAATAATAGTGCATAACTATTAAAGTCAATAAATATTGTCATTTAATAAAATAATGACATAAAATGTAAAGACCAATTAGGTTATCACACTTTATAGTTTAACTATTTGCAGCAAAAAAACATAAATATAACTACATAGGGTTAACATACAAACAATTTATGGATATACATGCAATAATATATGTACAAGAATATAAATCAACATCCAATTTAGATAAAAATCCACAATAACATGGTTTATTGAATTTATTCACTTAAACTAGGAAAATCTAATATCCTTGTCAAGATATATATAACAACTTGGGTGTGGGTCTACCATGATGTTAACATACATAACTAGCCTCTAATAAGATTAGCCCATTGACTATCCTTCAATTACTATGTCCCTTCCAATACTTAATTAGGGATTTTAACCTCCAACCTTGTACCTTACTCAATTTAGTCACTTGTACACATATGACTCGACCTAACCCCTATACAAATCAACATTTGGCCACTTTTAATCAGTATAACTTGACATAACCCCTATACTATGGTCACTTTATAGACAATATGACTAAACCTTACCCCCATATCGCATTAACTAAGGTTTTGGAGGAGACTAAATTATCCACTTTAAGAGTCAACTTCTCAATAATGATTTTTCAACAATTGGGCTTGTAGAACACCAAAATAATATCCTCCAATGGGACATCCAACTTTTAAAACAATTTATCATCTAACCCTAAGTCAATCAATACAACACAACTCAATGCCTTAAGCATTTTTAACACCATCGCCTCAACGTTAAATCATCAATATACATTATCCTATATCAATTATATAGAACTATCAACATATACCAACATATAACTCTCAATAGTTAAATCATCAATATACATTATTTCAAATCAATGTATGAAAAACTAGCACCATATGTCATCATACAACATGTAATAAATTCAACTAACTTATACATGTTCAACACTTAAACAATAAAAATAAACACATTCTCGTCAAACAATCCATGTTTGATGCCATTTTCCCCAAGCCCGACATGAAACAAGTCATAGAGCCTTTGACTTGTCTATGGCCGACACCAATCTACTCATGCCTAACGTGGACTAGACAAAGAGCCTGTGTTGCACTCATGTCTAATGAGGTCAAAATTTACACCCAACCACATTTCAGGCAGAAAATCTTTGTCTGACTCACGTTTGATGTTGTCTAGACAAAGAGCTTCTATTATAATCATGCTAGGCATTTCTCAATTTAGGATTTGACATCACCAAGTGAAAGAGCTCTCCTCTTACTCATGTCCAATGCTATTGATTTCGCGCTTGGGGTCAATGAGACAAAGAGCCTCTAACTCGTGGCATGCCCAACACCTTGTATCTATGCCAAACTTAGTGATGAATTATGAACTTGGAAGATTCACAAATTTTCCCAAACCATTTGAAGCTCAAAAGAATCCAAGCATGAAATACAACAAAACACATTTACACTTCACAAGCAGCTCAATTCCAACCAAAAGAACAACATGCAACTGACAAAATACTTTGATTCATCAATTTCTATTAACATGACAAGAAAACACCAAAAACCACCAATACATATAATTCACCTTCCAATTCATCAATCCAACCACCAATTTAGCGAAATCAACCACAAACAACTCCACAAAATTCATTAAGATACAAAATTCTAATCTCCCTTACCTTGAGTCAATCAACTGAGAAGAAATGATGAAAAAAATGTGATTCCACACATTTTCGACTAAAAATTCCTAACTCTAGGAGCTTGAATCTCTAAATAAGTTACCTCATATCAAGTGTAGGTAAGGAGTAGAAAAAGGATTTAATAAGGAAAGATGAAGAAGAAATCTTTGGTTTCTAGAGACCTTTTCTTTAGCTTCTTTATAGTTTTTTTTTAAAACATAAACTTATGATGTTTATGTCTTAAGAAAAATCTTATATACCCTTTCTTAAGTTAAATCAACCTAACTCAATTTGAGACTATCTTAGAGATAATTTAATTCTCTCGTGAGCCCCTTGACCCCTAGAATCCTGAAACAACAATGATAACAGCAAATCAACGATTTAACATATAATTAAATAAAATACCTAAAACATTAGTAACTTCTTATTTAGTTCAAATTTTCATTTATTATATCTATTTATGAATTAAATTTTATTATTTTAAAATAAAATATAAATAATAAAAAATAATATTATAAATAAAATTTATTATAAATTTTAATTTATACCTATTATAAAGAAGATATATTTTGGTAACCACTGTTTTGGTCTCCACTTTTTAGTAAACTATTATACCCCTTAAATTTTTATACGTAACTATTAGAGACACGAACCTTTCTAATTACATATAATACATATTTAACTTGTAAAATGTACAAATTAAAATATTAGTAATTATTAGCGCAATATGGATCACTACCAAACAAATAAAGAAACAATTTTAGATATCACAAATAATTATTTTAAATTTTTTTACTAATATTTAGAAATGTTACGTGAATATAAAATATATAGATAATTGTAAATATTATTTGAAATAATTATATAATTTTTTTTTCGTGAAGGTCATGTACTCTATTAATAAATATATTAATAATTAAAAAAATGTCACATGCTAGTAAAAAATTAAAAACTAAAATAATAATTTAAAGTTATAAAGATGAAAAAACAAAGAATTGTTTTTTCTAAAATAAAATCAAAACATGCACATATTTAAGTCAACAATATATTTTAATTAATTAATTTTTTATTGTTAAGGAGTTTTCAATGCAAAAATACTCTAAAAAATTTTAAATCTTGAATACATAGCCTAACAAAAATGAAAGGGTACCCAAATCTCCGCTAACCTAAGAAACAGAAGCAGGAAGAGGATGATCGGCGTCGGAAAGATTAAGCAGTACGGTAACGTCCTCGACAAGCCCCTCACCAAGGGCAAGCAAGAGGTCCTTTATATTCCCAAACACTTACTCGATCATATCGATTTTTCTTCTCTGATTCTCTTTCAACCACTCGATCAATAACGCAGATCTCGCCTTATTCACAACTTTGATTACGCGTTTCAAATTCTACGGCTAATTTGATGTGTTTCTGCAGGTTAGTTTGAGTGCATTCGCGTTCTTGTTCTCGGAGCTTGTTCAGTACAACCAAACGCAGGTCGACAACATTGGCGAGCTCGAACGAAGGTCGTTGTTTTCCTCTTTCATCGGTTGCAAGAGAAACTCTAATTTGGTTTTGTTTCAGTTTCCCCATAAGTTTTATTGAGGATGATTTGTTTCCCTGGATCCGTGACAGTAAACACTTGATCTAACCTTTTAATTATAACTCAATGGTGCCTTCTTACTTTGTTTGAAACTTACGAAGCTTGAAGAGATGAAAACACTAGGCAATGTGAAGTAAAGACTGGTTTGGCTTGAAAACGCCATTTTCTGATGCTTTGTTATTGTAATGTATGTATTCAAATTGACGGCAATTGGATTAGTATTTAACAATGTAAATCTACCAGACTGGAGGATGCTGGATACGCAGTTGGGGCGCGGGTTCTTGAGCTGCTTTGCCACAGAGATAAGGTATGGTTGCTATCACAAGTTTTTGTAAACGTTTTCTTTGTTTTTCATAACAGAATTTAAATATCAAGAAAATCAAATTTAGTAATTCTGGACCCTGATAAGAGGAGATACTGGACTATAGTTTAGTTTACTGGACTAAAGCGCGAGGTTGGAGCCTTGATGGGGAAGAAAACACGTGGGTTTATATCATCCCTCATGATATCCGAGCCTGGGGCAATTTCCTAACTATTTATACACTTTATATGCTATTTGATTATGATTATTTGGTATTGAAAATTTGTTACTAACAAAAAGTCTTATCAGTGTTTGTGCAACCCAGCCATCCATTATTATAATCAACAATTCTTAATTTACCGACTAATAGAGGTCATTTTTACATTATTTCTGTCTTAAACAGACTCATCCACTCTTCTGGCATGCTAACATTCTATCTCTGAAGTGAGAGAATCCATGCAAATCATATGTTCTGTCAATAGTGTTTTGTCCATTTAATATCATGGTTCAAAGATGAGCTTGTAAATTCATTGGGCCAGCAAGTTAATTGTTTGCGTATATTGAAAAATGAAAATTGACACTTGCTGATTTGAGTTTGGCCATGTGGGTGGAATATCTTGTGTTTTTGCATGAGGTTAGTGTGATTGATATAGATTTGTTCTGAAACTACAGGGAAACAGAAGGGAGACACGGCTGTTGGGTATTCTTTCTTTTGTACACAGTACAGTGTGGAAAGTATTATTTGGAAAGGTGAGCTCCTTTATCAAAATTTGCTTATGTTCCCTCATTACCCCAATTTTATCAATTTGAAAAGGTGAATTAAATTTAAATGTCGTGTTACAAAATGACAAGAAACATCCTTGCTTACAGACATGAGATTTTTTAGTTTTTGATCATTTGTCATTCTGTTATGGTGTGGCATTTCTAGACTGGCAAAAAGGTTTTGCGAAGTTCTGTGAGAAGAAATACTCACATTACTATCTTGAAAATGAGATTATCTTTGTGAGGCATGCATAAAAGGACAAGATAGATTATTTTATAAAAAAAAAAAAAAAAAACTGTTGTGATTGTTCATTCTTGGAAGTTATGATGGTTGGATTCAGCAAGCTCGTGGGGTTTTTTTTTGCAGTAATTTAACCAGTGATCCTTAAGGTTTACCTTGATATGGTCCTTGGGATTTGAAGTACTATATATCACTTCCAAGACAAAGGCCCATTAAATGTTGAACATATAAGTATATAGTGGTTTTATTTTACATTCTATTGGTCAGAGTGTTATATTCCGCTACTCATGGATTGAACAGACCACGGCTTTGGTGCTGGAGGGCATATTGGGTTGGATTGATCATCATCATGTTTGCTTATTTAATATTTATACAACGAATTATTAATACATTTGATACAATCTTGGTTCTTGATCAACCAGTATATTATATTACAATCTTGGTTCTTGATCAATCATATATTTTGGCATGTGCGTTATATATCATGATATCCCTGTGTCTTTTAAAAGTTTATATGTATGGTTCACTATGCAGATCTAGTGTCAGAGAGCTGAAACACGTAAATAATGTATTAGCTGTGAAAATTATTCAATACCTGGGCATATGTTTTGTAGTTATAAACTTATAATCATAATCATAATCAATGGTGCAAGAGATGTGACTTGTGCCAAATGGAGCATTATTACCAATTTTTTTGTAACAATCAAGTACTATTTCTTCTGTTGTGGCTGCTTCATATACTTGTTTTCCTTGGAATGTAAAGTTCGCAACTATATTAATTTTTTAGCAGCTCCCTGAGTTTCAATGTGTTGTTTTTTATTTGTCTTATATCAGGTAGCCGATTCACTGGAGAAAGGAACTGAACATGAAGATGAATACATGATTAGTGAAAAGGAGCTCCTAGTAAACAAGTAATTTCAGTCTCAATATTTTATTTGACTGTTACACATACTGGATTTTTGTTCATCAATTAGTAATAAGCATTTTGATCTCTGATTTATAGATTCATTTCTATCCCAAAGGACATGGGAACGTTTAACTGTGGAGCATTTGTTGCTGGAATAGTACGGGTAAGTGCTTCTTTGCTTTGTTCAGTTACTGTCAACTAGTTATCTGATTCTTGTAGAAAGGTTCAATCAGTGGTTTTCTTTTGTTTCATTCATCAATGAAGGGCGTTTTGGATGGTGCTGGGTTTCCTGCTGTTGTAACAGCTCATTTTGTGCCCATGGAAGGTCAACAACGACCACGGACAACAATTTTGATAAAATTTGCTGAAGAGGTACATTGTCATTGATTTTTTTTTTCTTTTTATTTTTTTAAAGTGTACAATATTGGCAATAAGGTTTGAACCTAGGTCTTGTGCTTGCTACTCAAACTCCCTTAAATTTTGTCTTTTGTTAATCTCATGTCATTGGTTTTGCTTGTCATGTGTACGCATACATTCACAACTGATGGTTTCCTTTTTGGGTTTCTATCTTCCAGGTGTTACGAAGAGAAGCAAGATTAGGCTGATGTTTATACCAAGAATTTTCAATTAAGATATTTGTAATGCTGTACACCAATATAGAAAGATGTGGAACTTACACCTCTGCATGTGAAAAAGTAACTTAGGATTTTCACCAGCCTACCCTATTGATTTGTCCTTTGAACTCGGGCTTTTAATTCTAATGTATGTTATGCTTTGGAGTCGGGGAATTATCCTTACTGAATTACGTTGTACAAAAAATCTCGTGTTGTTGCTATTAATTTCAATTTCTCCACATCCTTAATATAATTGATGGAATAAAAATCTCCTATGGAATCTACGGTATCTCCAAAGTTCAAATTTTGGTATGTTTTTGAAAAATAAAATTGAACACAAAATGAAATTAAAAAGGTCAATTTAAAAGTTAAAAAGTTATTGAAAAATGAAAGTTTATTAGTTGATTAAATTAGAAGTATTTGGTAGATTTAATTTTACATCTATATAAGAAACAAATTGATTTTTGTCCTAATTAAAAAAAAATAAAAACTCACTTTTAGATGTATTAATTATTATAATAATTAAAGGAAACAAAATGTTCATCAATGTGTCCTTTTTGTTTTTTGGTAGAACATCAATGTGTCCTTTAATTATGTGTTATATTACTATTCAAACCATTTAATTATAAAAGTATTTTAGATTAAAATTAAAATTTATTATATATTTAAATGAAACTAACTATCTTAACTAATATTTTTAGCGGTTTCGGTAAATTAATTTTTTTTCCTTATATAAAGAATTGGAAGGAATACAAATTATACATAATTCATTTACAGGTTCATCTTGTTAAATTAGCCATTTTTATCGATAGTGATCAGACTATTCTCTTCACCTAGTGTGACTTAGATTAGATTATCAAATTTTGTCATGATAAATAATACGTAAATTTAACCATAAATCCTAATTGAGGCGTGTGAAGCAGGATATCTTCCCCTAATCCAAACTTTGTTTTTTGGTAGAAATAATAAAAAAATAAATTAGCGGGTTCTTGGGATTAGTCCAGTCAATTTTCCGAATCACGGATGTTAGAATACGAGTATCAAATGACAAAATCTAAATTCAAAATTAAAAATTTAATAAACAAGAGGTAGGAGGAGCAATGAGAATTGGGGTGGAGTAAAACCCAAAATCATGGCGCATCTCTTTCGCGCATTGCAATTTAGAAGATGCTGCACTTCTTTTCCCTCTTCCCACCGAAAGAAATGCAGGAATCCTTGACCATTCATGTGAACATCCCTATCACGTGATATATACTACCCTTCTTCTCATTGGCTTTGTGCCATTACAAAATTCATTAAAAATGTTCTCATGCAAACCTTCCTTCACCTTTGCTATGACTTGCTACTCTCTCGTGCCCTTCAACTTGGCTCCTCATGTGACTCTAGTTTTGAGCCCGTGACTTCGTTGCTACAGACAAATTACACTTTCTTATTCTTTTCCACGCCTCAAATTTTGGCACCCCATATACCTAACTTAACAAATTTAAGAATTTCCTGCCGTAAGTTATGCCAATAGTAACCCACAGTAACATCTATATTCTAACAAAACGTGCATTTAGAGTATCTATTGCCGAAAACCATAAGCTAATCCCTACAAAAATCTATTGAAGTGACTAACTTCTTCCAACGGATATTCTTTTGTACACAAGAACCCAGAGTCGTGAAGACATGTTTAAAGAACATAGTTATTTGCCTACATGTTGATTATGGACAAAATTTAGATACAGTATTATAAACTTTACTTCCTTAATGCGTCTAAATGTTTAATATAATCCTTTATTATGCATATTACTAAAGTGAAAATTTTCAGTTATGGTAAGAGAATAATATCAAAATCACCTATAATCTTGTATGTAAGTTTCATCCTAAGTCTTTTTGTTGATCTATATTCTTGTGAAAATGGCCTTTTTAGCTCAAGGATCCAATAATATGGATAAAGCAGTCACATATTTGGACTTTCTGCTAGCCCGATTTGTCGCAGTTGATCATGTGACTGTGACCAGTGAGCATTAACGTCAAGTTAACAAATTAACCTCCCAATTTTCTACTTCTCCTGCTTTATAAATACTATCATCCATTTCCACGTTCTAAACAAACCATCACTCCATTCTGTAATAATTCTGCCACTTAATATGCCAAAAGGGATGGCTTCAGTCACCACCACATTTTCACTAATGTTGCAGTTTCTGTTCCTAACATTATGTTGGTTTGGTCAGCCAAGCTTAGCTTTCACACGGCAAGAGTATCACGAGGCTCTTGAGAAATCCATTCTCTTCTTTGAGGGACAAAGATCAGGAAAATTGCCTTCCAACCAGCGACTAACATGGAGGGGAGATTCTGCATTGTCTGATGGCTCTTCTTATCATGTATATATATGTAAAATTTAGTTTAAATTAAATTAAAACTGGCTATTTTTGCTCATACAGTTTAACCACGATTAATCTTGTTCAGGTGGACCTAGTAGGAGGCTATTATGATGCTGGAGATAACGTCAAGTTTGGGTTGCCAATGGCCTTTACCACTACATTGTTAGCATGGAGTGTGATTGAATTTGGAAGCTCAATGCAGGAGCAGATTGAAAACGCTAGAGCTGCTATCAGGTGGAGCACGGATTACCTACTGAAGGCAGCCACCACCACCCCTGACACATTATATGTCCAAGTGAGCAAACTTTAATTGCTAACAAACTTGTATGATTAAAATGAAGTATATAAGTGGAGAATAATATTTATCTTAGAGATCAATTTTGTAAGATTGAGTTAGGCTCAAACTTATCTTTTTAAAATAGTATTATGCTTAATTTGAACTTAATTAAATCTTGCAAGACCAACATGTAAATAAGTCCATAAAATTTTCAGCTGTTTTATCTAAATCTTTAAAGTTGGTTACTTATTGTCATTTTAGTCTCTAAATATATGTTAATTACTTTATTCATGTTGCATGTAATTATCTATAAATTGTACTTTTATGGATTTTTTTCTTAATTTTTATTTTCAAGGGTTAATACGAGACTAAAATAGTCTTTTACCTGAAAAACTTGTACGAAAATATAAAACTAGTGCATTAGAGAAAGCCAAACATGTAGAATCTCAAAAGATATTGTCCGTTGTCCACAACAACTGCCAACTTGAACGGATAATGCTTACAGGTAGGAGACCCTAACATGGATCACAAATGTTGGGAAAGGCCTGAAGATATGGACACACCCCGCAACGTGTACAAGGTATCAGCTCAAAACCCAGGATCAGATGTAGCAGCAGAGACAGCAGCTGCATTGGCAGCTTCTTCAATAGTATTCAAAGATTCAGATCCCACCTATTCCTCCAAGTTGCTTCAAGCAGCCATCAAAGTATATATATATATAATAAATAATCTGTTCCCCCATTTTCATTTCGTGCTAAGTGTACAATTTACTAATTATTTTGTCAATGTTACTTTGCAGGTATTCAATTTTGCAGATCGTTACAGGGGTTCTTATAGTGACTCTCTTAGTTCGGTTGTGTGTCCATTTTATTGCTCTTACTCTGGATACCATGTAAGTTGTAACACAATTCTACTTAATTGCGTTTTATTTAAATTTGAAATATATCAATCACATGTATGTATGGCTTATGTTTTGAACATGTGGTTGCAATTAGGATGAGCTTCTGTGGGGTGCATCATGGATTTATAAAGCCTCGGGAATTAGCTCATACATACAATATATACGATCCAATGGCCACATATTAGGTGCAGATGATGATGATTACTCCTTCAGTTGGGATGACAAGCGACCTGGGACCAAAGTCCTGCTATCCAAGGTACCCTTTTTGCTTGGCTCTCATTACTTTTATTAACTTCATTTTCTTAGGCCCTAAATGACATCACACACATGAATATGACTTAAAAGGTTTGTTTTGCACGGACACGGTGACAGGAATTCCTGGAGAAAAATTCTGAAGAGTTCCAATTATATAAGGCACATGCAGACAATTACATATGTTCTCTAATGTCGGGTACACCAGGTTTCCAAGCTCAGTACACAAGAGGTAGCAATCCGGATTATTTAATATTTATCCTCATGGTTCAGTTAGTAAAAAACTATATACTTTTAAAAAAAAAAATCTCATCTTTAGTAATTTTGTGAATTTTATAAAATAACTTTTAAAATTACAAGTTTTATCATCTAATTTTTAAAATTTTAAACATTTTATTTTATTATTTCGTTAATTGACTAACATGACATATTATATTATATTACATTAGTAATCCATGTCAACAATTAACATATTACACAGACAAACAATATTTTACATTAATAATCAATGTGTTACATGAGTGTCAACTATTAACATCATATACTCAATTAACAAAATAATTAAATGTGCAAAATTTCATTAGAATGTTACAGTGGACATGATGAAAGTTAGAGTGTGATACTTTCCAATAATTATTTTTTCCATGTTTGATTTCTTGATTAGTGCCAGCCACCAATTCATTATTTAGAACTTTCTTACCTGAGTGAAAACAGATTTGCTTTTGGTACAAGATAAATCTGAAAAAAAAGGACTTCAAACAAATTTTGTTACAATTGAAGAAAGAAAAAAAAAATTGCATGTGAGCATGAATGTTTTTTTTTTATTTGCAGGGGGGCTTCTATACAAAGGGAGTGAGAGCAATTTGCAATACGTGACATCGACGAGCTTCCTTGTCCTGACATACGCCAAGTACCTGAACTCAAACGGTGGTGGTGTCTCATGTGGGAGTTCAAGAGTGACGGGGCAAAACCTCGTAACACTGGCTAAGACACAAGTGGATTACATTCTAGGCAACAATCCCAGGAAGATGTCTTATATGGTGGGTTTTGGGAGTAGGTATCCAATGCATATCCACCACAGGGGTTCCTCTCTGCCTTCCCTGCACGCCCACTCCCAGCATGTTTCCTGCAACGATGGCTTTCAATACCTCTATTCTAGTTCGCCCAATCCTAATGTCCTGGTTGGAGCCATAGTTGGTGGTCCCGATAGCAGTGACAATTTCTCTGATGATAGAAATAACTATCAACAGTCAGAGCCAGCAACCTACATCAATGCACCCTTTGTAGGTGCTCTTGCCTATTTCTCTTTCCAAACCCCAAGCAATTAGGTTTAGAATCATTAAAAAAAAAACAAAAAACACTACTGTAGGTTATCCAACTACTTCCTACACAGTTGATAGACACATGAATCTTTGTTAAGTGAGTTGCTTTGATCTCATGAATGGAAAACACTTTGTTAATGATCATATGTATCAAAGGAGACTTTATTCAAAAACTAGCTTATTTTACTAATTTTTGTATTTTGAAAAGTAGTAGTGTGGATTAAATATACTAATAATAAAAAAGTTGTCTCAAAATAATTGATGCTTATATTTATTTGACTTTATTACTCTTTTTTATTTATGTTTTATAGTTTTATCTATTTTTTTACTTTATTTTGAAACCATATTTTCTACCACCTGACATTTTTAATTTTACATGTTTTTTTTATTATGTTGATCGGTTGTTTTATATCATTAATTTGACCGTAAATATAACACATTAATTAACACAAATATATTTATATGATAAATATAAATTGTTATTTATGTTGGGTGGGAGTGTTGTTAGGAGTTTTTATTTGACAAGCAGATTTAAAATAATATTTTTATTAAAATATAAATTATTTATCACAAATCTAAAATATAATTTATATGTTTAAAATATATTTATACAAGTTTTAAATATTTTATATATTCAAAATTAACATTTATATATATAATTTATTATAAATTTTAATTATATATTATAAATATGTATATACATTGCATAAATTATATATATATATATATATATATATATTAATTAAACGTA